AACTTAACTTTTAATTAAATGTCAAAAACTGGGACTCTCTTACCACAATTTACTCAAATTTGAGAATGCAAAATGAAAAAAATTAATGTAAATTTAGGGAACCATAAACACATTAATTAAAGAAAGATATGGTAGGCTATGCTAGCTGTACAATAAAAAAGTAAAAACTAAAACTACATGATAAAATAAAAAATAAAGTAGCAGACATAGAGCCTGAGAATTTGACTAATAGTTTTGTTAATGATGATGATCCTCTTTGATGAGAGAAGGCTCATTTATTTATAAATGATCCTAACTTAGTACCCAAACCTCATGATAGCCATTTTTTTAAAATTTAGGAAGCACTTCCTCCATCATGGTCACTCATTATAGTGAAGTGTGGAGATAATGGCCTAAACCTGATCTTGACTTAGTGGTTAAGACTTCATAAATATTTATTTTTAATTATTTTAAGGCCAATTAAGGTGAGTTGGACATGAGCCTTCAAATTTACAATTTGGATGCAAACAATGTTCTTTGCATAAAAATTGGTTAGAGCCTTCGTAGGCCAATTTTATATGGATATTTTCATTGGCCCCACTTCCAAGCATTACGTGAGTAGTATGTCTTAGAGGACCAGTTCGTTCCCATTCTTTGATGGTTGATCTAGTACTTTCTTTAAAGGACACTCTTGTAGTTGAGGATTGTAGGCTAAATGGTCCAGTTTATGATCAACTTTCTTAAGGTTTGGGACCTCAAAGGCTGGTTTTGCAAAATCTAGTTGCTGTAAGGCTTAACCTTATGATTTTCGCCCTTGTTAAGAGAGCTCTTGTAGAGAGGGTCCTTGCAGAGCTCACTTTTTTTGACTTTGGCTCTTATATCTTCGACCCCTATGGTGCTGGCCTGTGCAAAGTTAGCTCTTGTGGAGCGAACCCTTAAGGAGAGAGCTCCTATAGAGAGAGCCCTTGCAAAGCTTGCCTTTCCGACTTTAGCCCTTATAGGATTAGTGGCTTAGGATCTAATCTCTCAAAATATGGCTCCTTTATATCAAAGCCATTTAAGTTTGATAGACTAGGGGCTGTAGAAAATGATAGCTCAGGTATTGGGGCCGCATCAAATGATATTCCAAGACTTAATGAATATGACAAGCCAAGCCCCATGGTTTCAGAAATTGACAATTCAGGTATCAAGGCTATAGAAATTGTTAGCCCAACACCTTGCTTATCTCTTTTTTAAAGCCCTAAGTCTTTTTGCAAACTTTTGAGTTTCTTCCTACATTCTAGGTAAAATTGTCCACTTTTCCTCAACCTAAAAATTATCATGAAGAGATACCTTGGAGATGGAGTCCTCTTGATAAGCATGTACAAAATGCCCCTTGAGCTTTTTAATAGTGACTTGACTCATAGGTCTAGCTCTAGCCTTGAGATCTCTTCACATTTCTTAGAGAGGATTGTGGAGTGTATTGGCTAAGTAGTGCCACTTCTGAAGAGCTTTCATGAAAGGTATCCTGGTGGTACTATCATTCTTCCTCACAATGTCTTGTCCTTTGTCCTTCTTGGTTACCAAACAAGCCTGCCATTGAGTTAGACCCACCATAGCTCTTTTGAGGATGTTATAGCGGTCCTCATTGTTGATCTTTTTCTTAGACAACATAGTGGGGATGTTCCTTAGCCCATCCTTCAAAGTTTGCAACAAAGCTTTTTGCCTCTCATCAGTGTGGCATTACAACTTCTCCCAGGCTTTTGCTCGCTCTTGTTGCTTTTTTAGATGTTGTCTCTCGAGTTCCTCTATTAGTGCTTGTAAGGTCATTGCTTGGTTATCAATATGGTCCTATATCATGGTCAAAGACAAAGCTCCAACATGATTAGATACAATAATAGGAGACTTACTTGAGTGAGAGGATTTAAGACTCTCGTCCTGAACTAGCGGGTAAGGCATTCATTGAGAAAGTATTGCTTGTCGCCCTACTGTCACTAGAGTGCTAAAGGCCCATACTATACGTTTTATGCGTGCAACCACGTATTTTGAGTCATAAGACTCAAATCCATTCTTCCTAACAAAATATTGATTCTTACATGTCTTCGGCATTTCATTCACACGTGTCCTACTAGGCTTGCCAAAAATTATTTGACCAAAAAAAAAAACAAAGGGAGTGTTGTGAGGCTTGCTAAAGACGTGGGATCTTAGAAAGATGGAGGAAGAACTTGATTTTTAATGAAACATAAGGAACTTGGTAAATCACAATTCATCCTAACATGAGAATGAAAAGTGCAAAAAATTAATGTGGATGCAAGGAAGTAAAGATACATTAATTAAAGAAAGATATGATGGGCTATACCGGTTGTACAATAAAAAAATAAAGACTAAAATTATAAGATAAAAGAAAAAATAAAGTAGCAGATGTGAAATCTGAGAATTTGATTGGTGGTTTGTTGATGATGATGATCTTTTTTTGATGAGAGAAGGCTTCTCTATTTATAAATAATTCTGACTTGGTGCCAAACCCCATAATATTCATTTTTCTTAAATTTAAAAAATACTTTCTCTATCGTGGTTACTTGCCATGAGTGGAGTGTAGAGATTATAGTTTAGACGCGACCTTAACTTAGTGATTAAGATTTTATAAATATTTTTTAAATTATTTTAATATTAATTAAGTTCAGTTGAACTAGAATCTCTAAATTATAAATTTAAGTACAAACAGATTCATACATTAACCTGGCGCAGAGGAGACTCGGAGGCAAAGGATGGAATCGACTCCCCACGCACAAACACACATGTGAAGCAAGTGACCAGCTTCCTCAGCTTTGGAGATTCCGCTTTTTCGTTATTGATTTTGCTGCCAGCTTTTAGATTTTGCGTTCGTTGCTCCAGAATTTGTTAATCCCACCAAAACAAATTAAATTAAATAAAATTGAAGGAATGATTTTTTTTTTTAAGAGAAAAAACAGTAAATGAAGTCAAGAGGAAAAAGTTGTGTGGTGATGCCGCAGTTGAAAGCAAAATGTCAAAACCTAGAATCGAGATTTTCGGGGACTGATGTTTGACGGCTCTCTCTCCTCGTTCCGCGCATCACCTCGATAATCCTACACGGAGGAAAATTTATTTTGACATAATTTCATTGTTTTTTTTTTTGGTCAAAGACAAAATTTCATTGTTAAATGCTTTTGAAGAAAGTAATCGAACATTTTTCCAATGTGATTGGTTTGAAGGAAGGGCATAATGAAGAAGGGAGTGGAGTGTTCCTTTTTCATTCACTCTCTATTTTCCTTCTGTTCTTTAATAAAAAATTTAACAATTTAGATTTAATATTTAATAAATTATTATTTTAATTTTATATAAAATATAAAAGTAAATTTGAATTATTAAAATTTGATCTAGAAATAACAAATTTAATAAATTGAAGGGGAAAATAGAAGGGAAGTGCTTCTATTACTTGTTCGGCGATACTAATTCTCTCTCAGTTTTCCTTTGAACCCTTCTCGCCAAATTAATATGCTTTTTAATTATAACACTTTATTAAATAAGATTAAATATTAAAAGATATCTAATTTTCAATGTCATTAATTAATGAATTAAAAATTTAAATTAGTTAAAAGTATCTCATAATTTAAAGCTGAAGGAGTATACATTTTTAATATATAATAATTTAAATATTATTTTTATTTGTTAATCTCCACATAAAATTTTGCAAGTTACTTTTTGAGAATAATGGTGTTCCAATAATTATTCGATAACTGTTCAACATGCTTGGTCAAAATTGAATTTTTATTGGTATACATTTTTTTATATGACATTTATTTGTAATTTTTTTGAATCATTTTTGTAATTATTTTATTAACTAACGATTAACCTTAGTTTTTATTAACTCTCACATTTCATATTTTTAAAAGTTAAAAAAATTATACTAAAAATAAATTAAGAGTCAAGACGCTACTACTTGATCTATAACTCAAAGTTAAAATTATCTTTTAACCCTAATATATATACTAGTATTTTGTTATTATATGATAATGATAATATATGCTAATAGCAATACACCCTACACCCAGCCAACTGACACCCTGTGAATATAGTAAAAATACAACATGAAGAATTTTAATTTATTTGTATATAATAAAATATTCATATTTTCATTCAAAATCTGAAAATCAAGTAAAAAAAAACCATTTTATTGTTTTATACACAAGAAAACCATTTTATTTAAACCCAACTTTTTTTTTGGGGTCAAAATCAAAGAAAACCACAAACTTTGCAAAGATTTAAGGCCTTTTACGAACTACATTAATTTGAAATGTGTTTTTCTTAAGTTTAACAAAGAGTTAGATTCCCTAATATATTTTTGTCATATCTAAATTGAAATATAAACAAGCACTTCGTAATTGCTAAGAAAAGCCCACCCCTGTCGAATAGTGAGATACAGAGGTGTTAATATAGTATGAACAGAAGTAATTGGATCTATCTTTTTACTTGTGTGTGTACTACTATAATCCTCTTTAAAAGATTTTTTTTATTAACCTTATCAATATTAATATAAAAAAATAAAAGTAATACTATATAATTTTTAAATATATTTTTATATAAAAAATTTAAAAAGTAATACTATATAATTTTTTTCTTTCATAAGAGATAATTATAAAAATATTTTTTAAATATTATCTAAAAATCATATTGTGATTTATAAATAAAATTAAATAAATTTTTTAAAATGTGTTTTATAAATGGAGCTTGAGAAAGTATATATTTGTATTTAAATTTTTAAAAATGAATTTTTTAAATTTACAATGGGTTTTAAACCAATGCAGGGAACTCAATAAAATATGAGAATGCATTTTGTTGTTTTTGCTTTCGTTTTCTTTAACCCATATGTGTACTAGAGTCACCGAATCAACGGGACCAAATCGTGAGAAGGGCATCCCTCAGTTTTCTTTTTAAATGATTTCATTTTTTTTTAATAAGACGACCCTGCATTTTTTTTTTTGGCCTTTTCTCTTTGCCCTTTCGTTCTCTCCGCCTTAACCCAAATGTTAACTATTTAATCAAACATCCTTTTATCCATACAATACAAGATGGATAGAAATCCGAACTTGTAGCCAGTGTACCAATCTTCACACGGCTTTCTGTTTGTTTGGACGCCACCTCCTTCTCTTCCTCGTCCTCTTCCATGAAGCAGAGCCTCAGAACTGAGATCTACTGATGCGCCCGCCAACGTGAGAGCCTCCCAAAAAGCAAATGTGAACTTGGAACTGAAAGTAGTACAGTGAGGTCAGAAAAAATGGTGAGAAAGAGAATGGCTTCTGAAATGGAAGTTCACAACTCCGCCGGCGATTTTCATCTCCGGTTTCCCCACCACCGTCCAAATTCTCTATTATCCACCGTAGATAGAGCAGCAGCAGCAGCTTCAAGTAATCATAACAGTAAGTACAATAGCTTTCATTATAAATCTGGTTCACGAGATAATAATGTTCCTATTCCTAACCCCACAACAGTGACGGTCTCCAACTACTCCACTTCCACGCTTCTACCTTCTCCTTCCACCAATCTCACCGCCATGACGTCACCCAACTTCAGCAATCGTCATTGCGGTGATAATCTCTCTCTTCACCCTCATCTTCAAGCCCAGCAGGCCCAGCAGGACCCTTCGCCTCCTCCTGCAGTCTGTGGATTCTCCGGTTTGCCTCTATTCCCTTCTGAAAGTAATCGGCTTGATAATACTGTTGACGGTGTTGCTTCGGTGGCCACAAGCGCTGACGCCGGCCGACCTCTTCCTCCTCCTTCTATGGAAGATAGTTCAGCCATGGCTTGGATCGACGGCATCTTGAAGGATCTCATCCATGGCTCCACCGCTGTGTCCATCCCCCAACTCATCAACAACGTCAGGGAGATTATCTATCCTTGCAACCCCAACCTTGCTGTCATTCTTGAATACAGACTCCGTCTCCTCACTTCCGCTAATACTTCTGAATCTGTTCTGAATTATGGGGAGAAGAAAAGGACAGACGCGCCGCCTCCTCCTCCGGTGCCGGTGGCCGCGGGTTTAAACCAGAGGTCTTTTGTTGGTCAGCAAGTAGGCCCCTCTTTTGCTGCCGCTATGGCCCCCAACTTGCATATTCCAAATTCTTCATCTGTTGTTGGGAATCAGATGTACTCAAATTGGGGACTACCTCCAGTCACGGCGTTAACACACGAAGGCGGAAACCCACCGGTGATTACTTTACCACTATCTCCATTATCATCGTCAAACCATCAAGGTCATTCGCCACAGGAGGAGCAACAATTTCATGAGAAACAAGAGAATCAGAACCAGCAGCAACAAGAAGAGGGAGTGTCTTCGCCTTGTGATAATCGTCCGGTGACGACAACGACGACGGCTACAGCTACAGAAATCATCCTAGCAAGAAAGAAGAAAGAGGAGATGCAACAACAGAAAAGAGACGAAGAAGGGTTGCACCTCCTAACTTTGTTGCTTCAATGTGCTGAGGCTGTGGCAGCTGATAACTTCGATGAAGCTAATAAGATGTTGCTGGAGATCTCACAACTCTCGACGCCGTTTGGCACGTCGGCGCAACGTGTAGCAGCTTATTTCTCGGAAGCCATATCGGCGAGGCTGATTAACTCGTGCTTGGGAATATACGCTTCTCTGCCAATGGTGCCTCATAACCAAAAGATGGTATCAGCATTCCAAGTCTTCAACGGAATCAGTCCTTTCGTGAAGTTCTCACACTTCACAGCAAACCAAGCTATACAAGAAGCATTCGAGAGGGAAGAGAGAGTCCATATAATAGATTTAGATATAATGCAGGGATTGCAATGGCCTGGGCTGTTTCACATTTTGGCTTCAAGAGCTGGTGGGCCACCTTACGTCAGACTCACAGGGCTCGGCACCTCCATGGAAGCTCTTGAAGCTACTGGGAAACGATTGTCTGATTTTGCTAATAAATTAGGACTTCCTTTTGAGTTCTTCCCGGTGGCTGACAAAGTTGGGAATCTTGATCCTGAGAGGTTATGTGTAAGCAAGACAGAAGCTGTTGCCGTCCACTGGCTCCAACATTCTCTTTATGATGTCACTGGCTCTGATGCTAACACGCTCTGGCTTTTGCAGAGGTTTGTGCTTAACTTGCTTTCATTTTCTTGCACATGCATACATATGTATATGTATATATATTTAAACACACACAATCGAAGATTTCATCTTTATTGTGCAGGCTGGCACCTAAAGTGGTGACGGTGGTGGAGCAGGATCTGAGCCATGCGGGGTCATTCTTGGGGAGGTTTGTGGAAGCGATACATTACTACTCAGCACTGTTTGATTCGCTTGGATCGAGCTATGGGGAAGAGAGTGAGGAGAGACACGTGGTGGAGCATCAGCTTCTGTCGAGGGAGATTCGAAACGTGCTGGCCATTGGAGGTCCGGCGAGGACCGGCGAGCTAAAGTTTCATAACTGGAGGGAGAAACTTCAGCAAAGTGGGTTCAGAGGAATCTCCCTCGCCGGCAACGCCGCGACGCAGGCCAGTTTGCTTCTGGGAATGTTTCCTTCTGATGGGTATACTTTGGTGGAGGACAATGGCACACTGAAGCTTGGTTGGAAAGATCTGTGCTTGCTTACTGCTTCTGCTTGGAGACCTTCGTTCCATAATGCCACTACTGCGATCGTCCACCATGGCTGATTCTTGGTGCTTGAATTTTCTCTCTCTCTCAAGTTGACTTCTTGAAGATGATGGTGATAATTTCACATTATGATTGCATGATGCTTCTTCCACAATTGAACATTTTGATTATAGTTTTTATTTTGATTTTTCTTGGTCGCTGACTTTTTCTTCTCGGTCAAGCAGTCAAACTTGACTAATTTTGCTTTTAACATTTTTCTAGCTGGCATCAAATATACACATCTTCATCCTTACCAATTTGTTCTCCGAAAATGACAGTTAAGTCTAAGGGGAGTATTTTATTCGGCCAAACTCATGATAAATTGTAAAAATGTAAATTAAGTCCTTTAAATCTTTAATTGATATTATGATATAATATAAGAAAAGATTCAAATATTGTTAGTAACTATAACAGAGTTTTAATTACAAATTTACTCTTATATTTGGATCTCAGTCTATTTTGATTTGCAAATTGGTTTTCCAATTATATTTAGAAACACAGAAATTCTCTGTTGAATTTTAGAGTTACATGCACTTGCAACTTGCTCTCGTACATGTAACTCTATCTACTCTGATTTGTAATTTTACGTAACAATTTTATTTATGAGCAACTTGTTTTATCCAAATTTGGGAACAGAAGATTTTAACCGTGACCTCTTTTCTTCCTTGAAAAATTATTTGGTCAACTCCAGGGACTTGCTACTTTTGTATTTGCAACTCCTTTTATCTTGATTCATTGTAACCCTTTATTCTAATTTTGTTTCTGAACGCATGATATATTATATTTTCATAAGAAATTATTTGTTTACATCGTGGTTTTCAACTTGGTCGTAATTTTATTTATGAGGCACAAGATTTAAACATTGAGTTTTATGAAATTATTTGTTTAGTTACAAGGATTTGCAACTTATTTTTATTTGACATTGAGTTTTATGAAATTATTTGTTTAGTTTCAAGGATTTGCAACTTATTTTTATTTGACATTGAGTTTTATGAAATTATTTGTTTAGTTTCAAGGATTTGCAACTTATTTTTATTTGCAATTTTATCTATATTTGCAACTTGGTTTCCTAAATCTATTCAGGGACACATGATTTCAATAGTGAAGTTTTCATAAAGATTATTTAGTTTCTTGCAATTTATTTTTCTGGATTTGTAACTCCATCTATCTTAATTTGCAACTTAGCTTTTTAATTTTATTTAGGAATATAGGAATTCAACGTTGTTGGATTTTAAAAGAGATTATTTGTGAATTGAGCCATGAGCCAATGGTTAAATTTTCTTGATGTTCGATATTGTGAATTGAGCAAACAGATCAAATAATAATTATTGGTTTTTCTTCATCGAGTTCTACCACAGACTAGAAGTGAGAAGCATGATAAAATTGATTGTGGAATCACTAAACTCCGATTCCCATGTAAGCGTAACAAACTCCTGTGAATTTGCTGCTACATATCATTCAATGGCATGAAAGTATCACATCCTTGTTGGTTCATTATATTTACTATGGTAACTTGGTCCATTATATTACTAATTATGAAGACATGTATATGCACTCACCTCCGTTGACAAAGCAATAATGTAAATGCAATTGAAGCAAGGAAGTACCCATGCGAGCTTCATTCTTTTTTTTTTTTTATTTAGAGGTGCAAACACTAATAATTTGAGATTACAAGCGAGATTGAACTTGTAATTTTTCACTTATCGGATGCCTACATGACATTACACTACAAGGCTGTTGGCGCCAGTTTTATTCTTGATGGCGTTTAACACCACCTTTTTCACTACGGACAGCAATTTGGGATGCTACAAGAGTGGATGTTTGGATTAAGCTTTGCTGAAGGAATGGATTGGGCCACTAGAGCATAGTAGCAAGTAAGTTATGGATTTAGCTTGGTTCCGTAGACAAAAGCAATTCTAATTAGTATATGATAATTCAAGAGATCGATTAATTTCGGAACTGGATTTAAAGAACCAAGCCTTGTTAGTGATAAATATAAAATATCAAAAATAGAGAGGAAAATTGAAGAATGATTTGATGCAATTTCACTATTACAAAATATTCTTTTTATGTCGCCTTTTGAAGTTGGTTATTAAAAAAATTGTAGTAAAAAAAAGGCAATGATGCAACTGTACTGCATAAGGTTTTACATTAAATTTTCAAAAGTTTTATAACTTTTATTTTACTTTTGTCAATTGTGATTTTTTTTTTTTGTATGTTTCATGTCGGTTGCTCCTACAAACGATGTGAAAATTTTAAACCATATCAGTTTTTGTAAAAACCAACGTGGTTTCATTTTAAATTTCATAGCTTAAAAGACGCGTTTTTGACAATTTCTTTTTTCAGTTTCAGTTCCCTCTCCATTTGATGCTCTCTCTCCTTGACCCAAAACTAAAAATACTTCCTCCTTGCCGTCATTGAGGTTCATTGCTTAGTCCGCCGTCGCTGTCGTCGATTTGCCATTCTGGGTTCCGTTGCTAATCACTTTTTCACCATTAGTGTGCTGTTTTGCATGGTGACGTCATCTGTTTGCATTTTGTCTTCTAAGTGCCATTTTTGTTCTCTTATTCTTCTTTTTTCCTTCTTCCATTATTGATTTCTTCAGCACTTCTTCAGTTGTGGGTGTTTTCTTCTTTATTCTTCTACTTCCTTGTTGGTATTTTTGTTTGTTCGCATTCCATCTTCAAATTAAGTTTTCTTTTCTTTTATCTGTTTTTCAAAATTTTCTTTAATTTATGAACTTTAGAGTAGTTAGTAGTTGTAGATATGAAATGTTTTATTTTTGTTCTTAATTAAAATTAGCCGTGATCCGTTCAAAATGGCCATTCAATTTAATTATTTTGTGTATCTTAAATTGTTATGTGTTTAGAAATTACTAAAGATTATATTAAATTTTTATAATGCTTGGCAGTTGGATTTAAACTTTATTGTTGTTGAGATTTAAGTTAATTTTGATTGTTGTTGAAATTTTGGAAGGTCCTATTTTGAGGAAAAAATCTGCTAAATTTTTTTTCTAATTTTTATAATATTTATATAATTTACTTTTGACTTGGGAGTAGGATTTGAACTTTATTGTTGTTGACATTTTAGTAGAATTTGATTGTTGTTTAAATTTACTTGAATGTGAGTATGAATCCTTAGCTTTCATATTTAATTATCTCTCACATGTGTTGGTTTGATTTTAAATTTTTATTTATTTTAATGTTGTAGGTAGCTAGGTAGCACAAAATTTGGTTATTATATTATTTGTTACATGTATGCATGAGATAGTTTAAGTTAGAAGTACTGAAAGATTAGACAAGGAATTTGGTTTTTTTTTTTATTTTAGTTTAAATTATTGTATTCAATTTCTTAAAGTATAATTCTGATTAATTTTATTATTTACATTTTTGATAATATGAAGCCCTATAATGAATAAAAAATTGATGACATTTGAGATATTTTGCCTTAACAACTTTTCCAAGAGCAGTTTTCAAAGTGAAGAGGTTGAATTTTTTTTAATAATTGAACAAATATATATATATCAATTATATAGAGAAAATATTATCTTAGTTCATTTTAAAAATATATATTTAGCATAGTTGTAACTTATTGTGGTCATTGGCTTTGCTGGTTGGCTGTTTATACTTGTTATATATTCTATGCAATTGAAAGGTTTAAGTTCTGGATGTATAAAAAACAAATAATTTTTTTTTAAAAAACTTTTAACAACAGTTATATAGAAAACCAATGTTAAAAAACTTCTAACTAATGTTGGTTAATAGTTAATTTAATAATTTACGTGAAAGTATTTTACACATTGGTTAAATAACCAATGTGGAAAATTGACTTTTCACTTGGCTTTTTATTTTTTTTATTTTTCCTTAATAGCTGATGTAAAAGGAAAAAATAACTGTTGTTAAAAGTCTTTCCTACAATAGTATTTATTCACCAAGCATAGCCTTTATATTGGCAAATTACATCATAAAATTAATAAAATAAAAAACTTAAAAATGTCCAAGTCTTGCGACAAACAAATTATGGGAGGTAATGCAACAACTTAAATGATCATGTGGTTATTGAAAATCATGACAATATCTAATAATGGGATAATGGGAAAGTGCAAATGATTTATGAGAGAAGTGGGCACCAAATAATGGGATAATGGGAAAGTGCAAATGATTTATGAGAGAAGTGGGCACTAAAAAAAGACATGTGGCTACTAAATAAAATCCTAAGAATCCCTCCCTTGAACCAATGTCTGCAAACATCAAGTTTAAAGTACAAGGATTTAAGTCAGGCCCTCCCTTGACCAAAATCTTCCATGGAACACACTCGAAGCATTTTCTGAATTTTCATGAGCATAGCTTGCTTAAGTGGTTTAGTTATGACATCACCCATTTTGATCTTCACCTTTGCAAGATACCAAGTTAATAATACCATTATTAAAAAGGTCACGCAAAAGATGACATCTCAATATGCTTGCTTCTTCCATGTAAAGTTGGATTTTGGAAATTTTAACTACTGAAACATTATTACAATAAATTTTTGTTAGGCCTCTTGTTGACATTAAAGTGTTTCAAGCAATCTTCTTAGCCATATAGGTTGACAAGAATATGTTACTATAGCAACAAATTCAGCTTCTCTGGATGAGAAATTAACAATTTATTGTTTATTTGAAGAACAATAAATAACTCCAAAACTCATCATAGAAACAAAGCCTGATGTGTTATTTTTATCATTGAGATCTCCATCATAGTCATTGTTGGAAAAGCTACCAAACTTTCCTTTTGGGTTTGTCTTGTAAAAAATTCCAAAATCAACAATATCATTCAAATACCAAAAGATCCTTTTTGCAACAAAGAGAGGATTCTTAGTTAGACTCTCCATATATCCACTTATAAGACTAACACCATGCATGATGTCAAGCCTTGTTGAAGTGAAGTACATTAAACTTCCAATTATTTGCTTGAAAATAGTAGCATAAATTGTATTTTATCTGTCATCCTTCACCAACTTTAAGCCACACTTAGTTGAACTACCAATGAGGTAACAATCCCTCATTCTAAACTAGTCCAAAACCTCATGAGCATATTTCTCTTGTGAAATAAAAATTCCATATGGTGATTGCACAACTTCAATGCCAAGGAAACAATGCATTATGCCCAAATCAGTCATATCAAATTCTTTCATCATTTTCTTTTTCAAATCATCTATCATACCTCTATCATTTTTAGTATAAATTACATCATCAATATAAAAAGAAACAATAAG